ATATATATAAATAACATGTGGCTTCCGTTTCTAGGCATACACTGTGCTTGGTCAGTATTTGGTGCTGAAAAAGGACCAAGAACTATTCAAGGATTGGATGAAGGATGTTTGTCATGCTAGCTCAAAACAAGCATCCGATTGCTACAATTGTCTCAATGATTGGTGCGAGGAGTTCATGTAAACGTTTCAATGTATAAATTGTGGAAAATCTCTGGACAAGCAATTCAGTCGAATAGGATAAAGAAATTTTAAGCCATACGATAATAATGATGTTTAAACTGTAATACATATATGTTCTGTCAACAATAATGTTAAGCTATCATTAAAATGTAAATGTATATTATTTAGAATTCAATTCCCTTGGCTATCCATTGGGTTACACATGATATGCCAACTTCCTCTGTCAGTACCTAATTAAAATTTAAATGAATAAAAAAAGCGTGATAAAATGTATTCGATGACTAATATTGGTCGACCATCATATAAGAAAATCGATAACAGCGTATATATGCGATCCGATAACTAGTGGTTGCCGGACTTTAAGAAAAATAAAGGTGAATGGAGTAAAAGCAGCTGCGTGAAAATCTAACAAACATTAAAATCATAGTCAAGCTGTGACATAACTTGCAAAATAAGCAAAGCGTAACTAACGCTTGCTTTATTGGAAAAGCACATAATTCTTCACATTTACTTAAAATTAAGCAAAGTGAAAATAGTACGGCCTGATGTGCGCTTGTATTTGTGTGTTTTTCTTTGTATATAGATATGTAAAGCGAGATAGCTATACAATTGCGCTACTAACACAACGTGTATGAGTGAGCTAAGTATATGCATGCGAGCAGCAGCAACTCTGATGTTTCAGAGTTCCAGGCCAAACATTCTGTGCGACGAACGGCTGAATCGACTTTTTGTGTGCAATGCACGACGTTTGCATTAATTATATTAGTAACAAATCGTAAATAACGCAGTCATAAATAGAAAAACGTATTTATTTTCAGATTTGTGATTCGTATTCAAAATAAAGTCTTTATTTGTCTGCATTTACACTGTAATGCCTTTTCGCGTCGCAGAAAAATTTAATGTGTGTGTGTGTGTTTTTTTTGCGTAAACGTCTCTAACCAAAATCGTAGTCGAAAAAAAACGGTAGCAACAACGTTTCCTTGGAAAAATTTGTAAATAGTCAACAAAATTGTCAAGTAAATGTGCGTAAGAATCATAGATTTATAAAAAAGTCGTATGTGCTGTATACATTGCTTCAGTATGTGTGCCTAAATAGTAGTAAACGTCGTTGTCGTTGTCATTCAAATCAGTGCGATTGGGTGAGTGCGTGTGTATGCATGTGTGTGTGTGTGTGTTGAGTGTGTGTTTGTGACGTTGTTGTATCGTAAAAAAAGAGTGAAAGAGAGCGCGCGCGGAGCGGGGGCGTGTAAGGTTCCGGTGAAGTGCGAACAAGAGAGTGTGAGAGAGAAAGGCAGAGCAAGCCGGGAGACAGGAGACAAGCCAGGCGAGCAGTCACTCATTTGAGCCCCGTATCCTTTTGCTTGCTTTTCTGCTACTCGGGAAAAATTCAATGACCTCATTTGTCTTACGTCTGGCCATTTCTGTTCTGTCTTTTCCAAAACAGGACCAATAGAAACAGCCATTTAAAAAATAACACTCGAGGGCAAGCTTTAAGAACCAGACCAATCAACGTGTCCAGCGCCATCGAGTGAATTATTTTGCAATACAAAAACAAGGAATAGAAGAAAACATATTCGGAAACAAAATACAACAAAAAAAAAACACAATAACGGATCGCTGTAACTGTCATAAGGAAGCCAGAGTTCGAGCATCTGGCTACGCAAAGCAAAACAATCTGCGAGCAGAAGTAGGAGGAGGAGCAGCGGATCCAACGTCAAGCCACAACACCAGCAACAAAAACAACACCAACAACAAATGGGAACCAATTCAGGGGCCACTGCTGGCATCAATAACAAGCCGGTCGGTGGCGCGGCAGTCCTGGGAGTTGGTGTTGCCAATTCCGCCATTCTTACCAACAGTTTAGGCAGCGGTGGAGGCGGTGGCCTCAGTATCAGCGGCCTGGGTGGACAGAACGCAAATGTGGGTGGCTTAGTCGGCGGCATGGGCGGTGCTGGCGGTGGCACTGGCAACAATGGCAGTGACGATAGTATGGGCGGACCCGGCGGTGGACCCAATAATCAGCAAGCAACAACGCCGCAATACACGATTCCGGGCATATTGCATTTCATACAGCATGAATGGTCGCGGTTCGAATTGGAGCGCTCACAGTGGGACGTCGACAGGGCCGAGCTGCAGGTGAGTTGGGTTGCTTATCCTTAAAGCTCACTTTCCATTTCAATGGGTTTTTCTTTGAATGAGTTTATCTGCCAGTCAGCGCACAGCTGTATCTAATTTATTTTGTAATCAACTTTATGCTCTGTTTGCTCCAGCGCTGCAACGGTATTCAAAATATGTATTTACCTACCTGTGCAAAAATAGTATTATATATTAGGAAAAAAATCATTTATTCACTAACAGACAGACTGAAAGAAACCGGGAATTTTATTGTTTTACATTTTACTTTATAATATTTGCTATAATTAATTGTAGCTATACTATTATTACTCAATAATATATTTTCATACTAATTGCTTATGGATGCATCAGCGGCAAAGCCTTTATTAAATAAAATGAGGGAATTTCCAGGAAATGTACAAAATTACTCAATTTTCTAATAACATGCAGATCGCCTATCGATGCTCTTGACTCTACCTCCACCCCCTCATACTCTCTCGCTTTCACCCGTATAGAGTTCATTAGCAGCTGGAAATGCGCTATCGTTATCGATACTACGCAGCATCGATGCGCTCAGTGTACATTCCGTTACGCTCTGATAAACAAGTGACATTCAAAACGTCACTGCACTGGAAACAAGTTGGCGACGACGCTGACTCTGCATTTTACCTACACAAGTTGCGCCGCACATATTTGTCGCAAACATTTATGTTTATGAACCTGTTCGCCTTGTTTGTGCTTTGCCAAAAACACAGAAAAAGGAAAGAAAAAAAATTATAAGAAAATAAAGCAAAGAGTGGGCAGTGACTAGACAACGGCGCCCATATCCAACAACAGCAGCCACCACACTTTGGAAGCCATTTTAGCGCGTTTGCATACACACACACGTGCTCTTTCTTATACATATGCATATGTATATAGATTTATATATGTACATATGTATGAGCGCCGGGCTCCACACGCTGAGAGTGTCTATTTCTAGCTTGCGGCTGTTTGTGTGTCAGTGTCAGTGCTGCACATGCAACGTCCTTGTGTTTGTGCCGGGGCTGGTTCATTGTACAATCTATCAACTTCCCGCTGCCGTTGCCGGCGGTGCTGCTGTCGCTGCTTCCATTGGAATCGATGGCAAATGCCGTCAGGCCAGCTGTTAATTAGTCTATTTGTTTTGCATTTGACGAATGGCCGTTTTGATGGAAGCGATTAGTAGAAAGAAAAACAAAGCGTAATTTCCTATCTGCATATATACATATATGTATATACAATACACATATATACATATATGTATGTATTTTATTTTACGTTTTATTTTTGGTCTCGATATGAGTTAGAGATATAGATACGTACAAATTTATTAAATTTTTTACTCATTGTTTTCCGTCTGTCTGGGCGTTTCATTATCTAGAGATGGGCTCGTGTCAAAGTTTACCAAACATAAAAGTATTGAAGTTATGCATCGTGACTATAGGAGGACTTTTTAATGCTTTTAATTTTTAATCTGATTACGTTGTGCTTATGTTCGTTTCGAAAGTTTCCGCAAATGTCAAAAACAAATTCATTATTCAACATTTATTTTGTACCAGCAAATGGCTGTTGCTCTGCTATTTGTATATCTTTGAAGAGAGCTTGCAAAAAAAAAAAAAATAAATAAATAAATATGCGCCACCTGCCTCCCACACTTTCGGCACTGTCGTCGTCGACGTCGTCATCACCATCATCATCACCATTGCATGTCGCTGGGTAATTTAAAAAGTGCTTGGCATTAACAAATACACACAAGTTCATTGGGATGTGGTGTTGTTGCAGTTGGTAGAGTATTGTGGCTAAAATGTGACAGTGTGCACTTCTGTCGCTTTTTGCATTGGCCACCTTTTTTCTTTCATTCAGCAGCTTTCAACACTGGCACGCGAACGGCATTCTAACATTTTGCTATTAAATGCGTGCTTTAATTAGTGGCCGTGCCAAATGAAATGCCATTGAATGTTAATTCAAATGCAGAACATGTTTCCATTAACAGCAACACCAGCAGCAGCAGAAGCAGCAGCAGCAATAACAACAAGAACAATAACAATAACAATAGCAGCAGAAGCAGCCGCCGCAGCAACTAAACAAGAATGAAACAAATTGTGTATAAAATCAAATGGCGGCACAGTTACGTTACGTGCTCTCTTCCTATGTCCCTCTCACTCTTTTACTCTCTCTGACCATTACTTCAAATCCGCTGCTCTCTTTGCTACTCTCGTGCGCTGCGGCTGCTTCTGTTATTAGCATGTATAAATTGTTATTGTTGTTGCCTTTGGGGCGCACACCCATTGAGAGCTGGCCAATTCTTTGTGTGTATGCATCTGTGTGTGTGCGTGCGTGTGAGTATGTGTGCACCTCCCCTTTTAAGACCAATTGAATGAGTGTGCTGAAGAGGAAATAAGCAAAAGTTTCTTTTTATTTATTTATTTATTTTTGCTCTGCATCGTCGTCACGCACCTGACACTCATTTTTTCGTTATTCTCCTGTTCATGTTAATGTTGTTGCTTTCTGCGCGGGCGTTTTATACAATAATATTCCGCTTCATCTCCCTTTCTCTATTGCAATATATTGCGTAGAAATCTATGATACATAACCTAACATAGTTGTTCCGCCTAAGGATTAGGGCGGGGTACGGCGAGGATGCTTGTACTGCTTTCACAATTCAACGCCGCATATCTTACGCAGTAGCAGTAAATGTTGCGGATTTCACTCTAGCTGCATTCCTATCCTTTTCACTCTCTTGGGCAACCACAATTAGTGCAGCAAGTCTGTAATTTTATATTACAATTAATTGAATTTAATTGTTTTTTGTTTTCGTTCGTTTTGCTATGGTGCAGCAGAGCGTCAATTATAAGACCAATCCAGCGTCGCGCCAAACGGAGCAATTGGAATGCAACGAGACGCATGCATTCATCATTCACACACACATACGCACATTACACATTACGTATATGCGTTCATATGCCACTCACATCCATATATATGTACATGTATGCATTTTTAATGGGAGCATATGAAAGCTTTCAAGCTTTACATTAATAAAAATTGATTATACCCTAATGGAGCATATGGGGTATTCGTATTTATATATATACATATGTCATACGTACGTACATATATGTATATATAATATTCATACACTATCGATACTTTTAACGTCTCGTCTTAAATATAATGTGATCAGTTATTATTACAGCATAAGTTGCTTATCGTTAATCTAGATTTGGCATTTATTGATATATCTATTTCAACTTAAACTAATCATTTTATCTTTTATTTTATAGGCGCGCATCGCTATGCTGCTGGGCGAGCGTAAATGTTTAGAGAGCCTCAAATCTGATCTGACGCGACGCATCAAAATGCTGGAGTATGCGCTGCGTCAGGAGCGAGCGAAATTCTATCGATTAAAATACGGCACCGATCCGCCGCAATTGAACGAGTTTAAGCCATCATCGAATGATGATGGTGGCATCGGTACCGATGTGGCCACCGATTCGGAAGTGCCCTACAGCTCTGTGTCGAACACCACGTGGCGGCAAGGCAGACAAATGTTGCGCCAGTATCTGGCAGAAATCGGTTATACAGACAACATAATCGATGTGCGTTCGAATCGTGTTCGCTCCATTCTTGGACTCAATAATAATGCGGATCATGATGGTGTCGGTGGTGGCGGCGGTGGCGGTGGTAACGCTGGCGGCATTGGCAGCGGTGGCGAGAATCTCAGTCCCAATATAAATGGCAATGAGAGCAATAAACGTGCCTCAGAATCGGAAGGTAGGTCATTACACACCCTCGTCCCCCCTGTTGAAGATTTGAATAATTTGCTCACATTAGGCCGTCATACTCCCGCTAAAAAAGTGCAACAATCGAATGATGCCATCATACTGGACACCGAGGCGGCAGTCATGGCCAATTTTGAGTTCCTTGGACCCACAGAGATGTCCGACGATGATGAAATCTCCGATGATCTGGAAATGGTGGCGACCGACAATGAGGATACTGATGTCAAAATGGCCAAACGGCCCAAGTCAGGAAAGGACATGCTTACCGAAGGTACGACTTGAGTACTATGGTCTTCTAGCTAATCCGCTCCCTCTTTATACCGATATACAAAGCCCTCCCACCCGTCGCATATTCTGTAGTATTTATATTTTTACTTTGCAAAGTCCCGTTTAAAAGAAAATAAGCATCCATAAATCCCATCCCCAATCGAAAAACAAACGCTGTATTTGTTATATGCTTTTCGCTTTCTGTTTCTTTCGCTTTTCTCTTCTTCTTCGTCTACGTCTTGTTGATGCGTTCATCATTTGCATAGATCTTGAGGCGGAGGTGGGAGAGCAGCTCTTAAACGATATGAATCTAATAACCGAAGGTGCTTTTTACTAATCACTCGAATAAAACAAATCACTAATTTCGAAAACTGCAAAACAATCTTTGGAAACTGTGACAAGAATCTAAATAAAATCTAGCGCTATTTTAACAACTATTAAAAGAGAAACTAACTCTAGTTAGTAAAACGTCAACATGTTTCCATTGATTGCCAATTCGAGTCATAATTATTGATTTCTGTTTTATAAAGTAAATTAAATTTCTTTTTGCATTTTTTCGCAGAGGTGGACGGTTCCTTGGGATTGGGTGAGCTAGCGCAGCTGACGGTGAACAATGAGTCGGACGGAGCGTACGATGCGAATGCCAAGGACGGCACTGGCGGCAGTGCCGGTGGCGCTGGCTATCGCAAAACCTGGAATGCCAAGTATACGCTGCGCTCGCATTTTGACGGAGTGCGCTCACTGATTTTCCATCCGGAGGAGCCCGTGCTAATCACTGCCTCCGAGGATAATACGCTCAAGCTGTGGAATCTACAGAAGACGGTGCAAGCCAAAAAATCCGCTAGTCTTGATGTTGAGCCGCTCTATACGTTCCGTGCCCACACCGGACCCGTCCTCTGCCTGGGCATGTCGTCTAGCGGCGAGACATGCTATTCGGGTGGCCTCGATGGCAACATCGAATGCTGGCAACTGCCATCGCCCAATATTGATCCATATGATTGCTACGATCCGAACGTGCATTCCGGCACATTGGAGGGTCATACGGACGCCGTTTGGGGTCTGACCACCATGCAGAATAATATTGTGTCATGTTCGGCAGATGGTACGGTTAAGCTGTGGTCACCATATACCAAGGAGCCGCTGCTGCGCACCTATACGGCCGCGGAGGCCGAGGGCGGGCCCTCATCCGTGGACTTTGTGCGCAACGAGGTGGATCACATTGTGGTGGCCTACAACAGTGCACACTGCATCATCTATGACACGGAAACGGGCAAACAGGTGATCAAGCTGGAGGCCTCACAAGAGATGTCCGGAAATACGGGGAAGTTCATTAATAAAGTCGTCTCCCATCCGACACTGCCCATCACAATAACCGCACACGAGGATCGCCATATACGCTTCTGGGATAATACATCGGGAACATTGGTGCATTCAATGGTGGCGCATTTGGAGCCGGTTACATCGTTAGCCGTTGATGCCCATGGACTGTATTTGCTGTCCGGTTCACATGACTGCTCCATACGCCTCTGGAATCTGGACAATAAGACGTGCGTGCAGGAGATAACCGCACATCGTAAAAAGTTCGATGAGAGCATATTTGACGTGGCGTTCCATGCAACCAAGCCCTATATAGCGAGTGCCGGTGCTGATGGACTCGCCAAGGTCTTTGTTTAACTTACATCGGACAAACCTCACCCCCAATTCCCAATCCCTAATCTCCACCTTCATACACACAGCCAATGCTGCAGCAGCTCTCAGCTAAGCGATTACGAGTTCGAGTTAAATAATTATACATATAAAAAAAATACACTTATATATATACATTATACTACTATACATTTAATTCTAATTATACAATTATATACATGAGATGAACAACAACA